ACTACTACAACTTTTGTTTTCAGAAGAAATATCTTTTTTATATTTTTTATGATTAAATATGAATATGATTTTTGAATAACTTTTTTTCAAAAAGGGGCGTGGTCACCAAATTCTCAGGTATCATCAATAACTGCCATATCTAACTACTACAACTTTTGTTTTCAGCAGAAATATCTTTTTTATATTTTTTATGATTAAATATGAATATGATTTTTGAATAACCTTTTTTCAAAAAGGGGCGTGGTCACCAAATTCTCAGGTATGATCAATAACTGCCATATCTAACTACTACAACTTTTGTTTTCAGAAGAAATATCTTTTTTATATTTTTTATGATTAAATATGAATATGATTTTTGAATAACTTTTTTTCAAAAAGGGGCGTGGTCACCAAATTCTCAGGTATCATCAATAACTGCCATATCTAACTACTACAACTTTTGTTTTCAGAAGAAATATCTTTTTTATATTTTTTATGATTAAATATGAATATGATTTTTGAATAACTTTTTTTCAAAAAGGGGCGTGGTCACCAAATTCTCAGGTATGATCAATAACTACAATATCTAACTACTACAACCTTTGTTTTTAGCAGAAATACCTTTTTTCATATTTTTTATGATTGAATCTTCAATGGCTTTTTATAAATGGAGAAGAGTCCTTTACGAGGGTTAACAGGAGTATGAATTAGACAGACTCTAATGTTTTAAAACATTTATTAAAGATTGATTTGTATGTGAAGGTGCGGACCTGTAAAGGAAAAGAGTGTGAGTTAAGGAAAATGAATAAATGTACAACATTTAAATATACTTATCTTTTACTCCCTTGTCTGCCCTCTTTAGGCGTTCCGGCCAAATAAGTCCTGAGGAGCCGGAGCACCTAAAGAGGATTCCGGGTTCATCCACTCTGCAGAGAGGGTGGAGGGGTTTCCTGGGTTTTATCTTTCCAGTTTAGTATAGTTTTAGAATAAATAAATCATTTGTAAATTTAAATAATAATAATAAAAAGAGTGTAAAAGCACTACTTTAATTATTGCTGTAGGGCTGCAGTTAGTATTGCTTAATTACTGTCATATGCTATAAAAGCAGGCCACCAACTCTGAACAGAGAGAGTGTTGCATGACATGCTGTCCAATGTAAATAAACCTGCACCCTGGGTGTGCACTTTGTTCCTCCAACATCTTCATAAGTGCCATCCTGACATGACAAGTGTCACAATCTTCAATAAATTTTGTTCTAAAAGGGGCGTGGTCACCAAAATCTCAGTTATAATCAATAATTAACATATCTAAGTACTGCAACCTTTGTTTGCAGCATTTATCTCTTTGTTACATTTTTATGATTAATTATCAATCTTCAATAGCTTTTGTTCTAAAAAGGGGGCGTGGTCACCAAATTCTTCAGAATGTGATAAGAGAGCAGTGTTGTGTCCATTGCACAATGGTATGTGATATTTGATAATTGTATATACTATGTGTATTTGCATATTACTCATAAAATAATGAAATGTAATTCCTGTTACAATAGAACATTATTTTATCTCCGTAGCAGTGGAACTGGACCACATCCAGCTTTGTGGAATCAGCTTCAACACCACTGACAAACCCATGAGATATTTTAATTATTGGTTATACCTGAGAATTTGGTGACCACGCCCCTTTTTGAAAAAAAGTTATTCAAGATTTGTAGTCATATTTAATCATAAAAAATATAAAAACGATATTTCTTCTGAAAACAAAAGTTGTAGTAGTTAGATATGGAAGTTATTGATGATACCTGAGAATTTGGTGACCACGCCCCTTTTTGAAAAAAAGTTATTCAAAAATCATATTCATATTAATCATAAAAAATATAAAAAAGATATTTCTTCTGAAAACAAAAGTTGTAGTAGTTAGATATGGCAGTTATTGATGATACCTGAGAATTTGGTGACCACGCCCCTTTTTGAAAAAAAGTTATTCAAAATCATATTCATATTTAATCATAAAAAATATAAAAAAGATATTTCTGCTGAAAACAAAAGTTGTAGTAGTTAGATATGGCAGTTATTGATGATACCTGAGAATTTGGTGACCACGCCCCTTTTTGAAAAAAAGTTATTCAAGATTTGTAGTCATATTTCATCATATTTAATCATAAAAATATAAAAAAGATATTTCTGCTGAAAACAAAAGTTGTAGTAGTTAGATATGGCAGTTATTGATGATACCTGAGAATTTGGTGACCACGCCCCTTTTTGAAAAAAGTTATTCAAAAATCATATTCATATTTAATCATAAAAAATATAAAAAAGATATTTCTTCTGAAAACAAAAGTTGTAGTAGTTAGATATGGCAGTTATTGATGATACCTGAGAATTTGGTGACCACGCCCCTTTTTGAAAAAAAGTTATTCAAAAATCATATTCATATTTAATCATAAAAATATAAAAAAGATATTTCTTCTGAAAACAAAAGTTGTAGTAGTTAGATATGGCAGTTATTGATGATACCTGAGAATTTGGTGACCACGCCCCTTTTTGAAAAAAAGTTATTCAAAAATCATATTCATATTTAATCATAAAAAATATAAAAAAGATATTTCTTCTGAAAACAAAAGTTGTAGTAGTTAGATATGGCAGTTATTGATGATACCTGAGAATTTGGTGACCACGCCCCTTTTTGAAAAAAAGTTATTCAAGATTTGTAGTCATATTTCATCATATTTAATCATAAAAATATAAAAAAGATATTTCTGCTGAAAACAAAAGTTGTAGTAGTTAGATATGGCAGTTATTGATGATACCTGAGAATTTGGTGACCACGCCCCTTTTTGAAAAAAAGTTATTCAAAAATCATATTCATATTTAATCATAAAAAATATAAAAAAGATATTTCTTCTGAAAACAAAAGTTGTAGTAGTTAGATATGGCAGTTATTGATGATACCTGAGAATTTGGTGACCACGCCCCTTTTTGAAAAAAAGTTATTCAAAAATCATATTCATATTAATCATAAAAAATATAAAAAAGATATTTCTTCTGAAAACAAAAGTTGTAGTAGTTAGATATGGCAGTTATTGATGATACCTGAGAATTTGGTGACCACGCCCCTTTTTGAAAAAAGTTATTCAAAAATCATATTCATATTTAATCATAAAAAATATAAAAAAGATATTTCTGCTGAAAACAAAAGTTGTAGTAGTTAGATATGGCAGTTATTGATGATACCTGAGAATTTGGTGACCACGCCCCTTTTTGAAAAAAAGTTATTCAAGATTTGTAGTCATATTTCATCATATTTAATCATAAAAATATAAAAAAGATATTTCTGCTGAAAACAAAAGTTGTAGTAGTTAGATATGGCAGTTATTGATGATACCTGAGAATTTGGTGACCACGCCCCTTTTTGAAAAAAAGTTATTCAAAAATCATATTCATATTTAATCATAAAAAATATAAAAAAGATATTTCTGCTGAAAACAAAAGTTGTAGTAGTTAGATATGGCAGTTATTGATGATACCTGAGAATTTGGTGACCACGCCCCTTTTTGAAAAAAAGTTATTCAAAAATCATATTCATATTTTAATCATAAAAAATATAAAAAAGATATTTCTGCTGAAAACAAAAGTTGTAGTAGTTAGATATGGCAGTTATTGATGATACCTGAGAATTTGGTGACCACGCCCCTTTTTGAAAAAAAGTTATTCAAAAATCATATTCATATTTAATCATAAAAAATATAAAAAAGATATTTCTTCTGAAAACAAAAGTTGTAGTAGTTAGATATGGCAGTTATTGATGATACCTGAGAATTTGGTGACCACGCCCCTTTTTGAAAAAAAGTTATTCAAAAATCATATTCATATTAATCATAAAAAATATAAAAAAGATATTTCTTCTGAAAACAAAAGTTGTAGTAGTTAGATATGGCAGTTATTGATGATACCTGAGAATTTGGTGACCACGCCCCTTTTTGAAAAAAAGTTATTCAAAAATCATATTCATATTAATCATAAAAAATATAAAAAAGATATTTCTTCTGAAAACAAAAGTTGTAGTAGTTAGATATGGCAGTTATTGATGATACCTGAGAATTTGGTGACCACGCCCCTTTTTGAAAAAAAGTTATTCAAAAATCATATTCATATTTAATCATAAAAAATATAAAAAAGATATTTCTTCTGAAAACAAAAGTTGTAGTAGTTAGATATGGCAGTTATTGATGATACCTGAGAATTTGGTGACCACGCCCCTCTTTGAAAAAAAGTTATTCAAAATTCATATTCATATTTTATCATAAAAAATATAAAAAAGATATTTCTGCTGAAAACAAAAGTTGTAGTAGTTAGATATGGCAGTTATTGATCATACCTGAGAATTTGGTGACCACGCCCCTCTTTGAAAAAAAAGTTATTCAAAATTCATATTCATATTAAATCCTATTTATTCATAAAAAATACAAAAAAGAAACAAATGCTGAAAACAAAGGTTGTAGTAGTTAGATATGGTAGCTATTTATAGCATTTGAGAGTTTAGTGCGTGTACTTGGCTTAAAATAAAAACTATTGTTCGTTTACACAGCTGGTATTGGCATTTGTTGACGCTCCCTAAGTGCTTTTCTCGGCACTTGCGGCGCATTGGATTCAATGGATTTCTCTGCATTAAAACAGCGCATTGGATTAGAAAAATCGATGTTGTAGTAGTTAGCCCATGTAGAGGTGATCATTTTGGCACAATTACTTTCGTTTAACAACGTAGCTTTCGTAAGATATTCACCGCGGAAGTCCGAATCTGTGAATATCAAGCTAACTTTACCGAACTGTGAGGGCTGGGGGCTTAACGCGGGTCACAGGAGCACGCTTGTGAGCACATGGTGGAGCACTGTCTGCTACGCGCTCCTCGACCCCATGTCGTGCAGAGACAATGGGTGACACATGAAAACACTGGCCTTCACTGGTGCCATTAGGAGCACGCATCTCTTCACCCTGCAGCTTTCAACGCGAGGTTTTGGGGGGACTCACCGTCAGCGACAGACTGAGCCGTGGACCGCGTCTCCACTTCTGCCATGGCGCTCTGCAAAAAGCACTCACACACAGTCCTCACGTCGTCTCCTCGAACTGCAACGACTGCTACAAAGTCTGTAAACCTGTGCTGACCAGACCCGCTGCAAACCCGACCGTAGCACGTGGTTCACACTTCTGGAGCCTTTATGGGCCACTGCGCTATGATCGCTTGATACAGTCTAATACAAGATGAGGCTGTTTTATACAAAAAATAAACAAATTGGCTTCGCGTGAAAAATGTAAACAAGAAAAACGGCCTCTTCTCAGCTGTGTAACTGTGAAGAGTGAACAGCTCGGATGCTAAGTTAAATGAGGGGAGCGCTCACTACTCGAAGAGCATTGCAGCAAACCGCCTGTAAGATAAACAAAGTCTGTTTTTAACTTAGCAAGCGACATGCATCACGTGGAGACAGCGCGTCTGGGGAGTGGCCAGACCGGAGGGTGGGTGCTGGTCAACACTGACCAATCCGAGAGCAGCAAGCCTCCTCTGCGGTGATATCTGCCTATGTGCCATGATGAGGCTGTAATACGGCCTGTTCGTGGAGCTATGATAGTTTATGGGCATGTGATGTGACAGAGAAATATGTTATTATAGTTCTACGGGCATTTTATGATGCAGTGCATTAGCAGGATCCTGAATGTGGTTCTGGATCATAGATCCATGTTCTGGATTAGTGCCACATGTTTTACTGCCACCTAGTGGTTAGAAAATTAAATCAAACCATGGCATACGTCCGCCTTAGTGAAACTACTCTAAATATATGTTTTTTTGGAGCTGAATTTGCACGATTTTTATAATCTTGACTAGCCCTGGGTCATTTAGACCCTGTTAGACCCAATTTAGATTTTTGGTCTAAAAAATTAATCAATTACTCAAAAGAATAATTTTTTTAGATTTTAGATTTATTTATTTGAAAAGGGACAGTGCACATTAATCAACATTTTACAATGTAAATATGCCCGAGTTAGCAGAAAAGCTAATTTTTATCGGTAGACCCTTTGGCAGATGTCAAAGCCAGCCTAAAAAAGCAAGATTATCAAATTGATAATTGATTGATTATCAAGTTAGTTAAAGTGCTACAAGTGTTATTTTAACACTGTTATTGTACAATATTACGGACTTAAAAAACCTTTACGAAAATGTAAATAAGTTACTCATAATGTGCCATTTGTAATCAGTGGGATGACATGACATATTTGTTACCAATATTACTATTTATCACCAATTAGTATCGTCAACAAATTATTTATTACTAATACATTACTCTATGGACTGGTTAAAGCAGTCCATAGAGTTGCTTCCTATCCTAAGCACTCGCTAGAATAAGGAAAAAGGTGTGATTACTATTGCTAAATACATTTTTTGAAAGTCTCATGTTACTATATTTTTGGAGACTGCTCAAGCTGCTATGGAGATGGTTCATAATGAAATACAGTCATATACAGACAACATGCTAGCAGCTGCAGTTATGTCATTATTTAAAACAAAAACTCACGTGTTATAATTAGAAGCATTTATTGACATTAAAACACAAGTTTGTTGAATCAGATGGCACAGATCTACATTGATATTTTTTCCATTTACAATGCAATCAATGCTAAATCAATATCAATATAATGTAAAAATATAAAACTGAATTCAATAGTGCAACAAAAATGTACATTTAGCCATTATATTTTATTTTTTACTCTCTAAACACCAATTTACAAAATGTTCTTTTACATGATTGCATTCTGAAAATATCCAAATTTACAGTTTAACAAAAATCTTACCGCTCAACTTTGGCTTCAGTATAATTATCATTAGCACAACACAGCTGACAAGAACTCTCACACGTGCGCACAACACATCAAAGAGCAGTTGGTAGAAATACACAAATGTTACTCTTAAAGAACACTACAATCTGTAGTAATAAGAATAAACTATTCCACACAGAAGTATACTTATATTAGTGTCTCATCGCTGCTGGAGTAAAATGAGATAAACAGTCATCAACTGTGTCACCTGATGGGATATAAAATGGATTTAGACCTCGCCAAACCAATGTGGGCTCAATAATGATGCTCACGTTCAATAAACTGTGCACAGTACAAAGTACAAATAGTGAGAAAGTACTACCCTTAATGCAAATAAACAGTCAGTGAAAGTCAAAACTCACGAGGTAACAGTCCTGCATCAGGCCTTGAGCTTATGCCATACATGATAGCTGCTAATAAGGCAAAATATGATCTATGTACAGTGAGCTTACTCATACTTTGATAGTTAGCTCAGATTTTTGTCTCTCATGCACCCAGACAGAACACAATTTAGCTTGGTTATTGCCTACTTGAAGCCAGGTGTTATGTTAATCGTTTATGTTAATAAAAGGAATCTGTCTTAGGTGTAAAGATAAAAATGCATTTATCTGACCATTGTTTAGTAACAGCAAAGTTCCTAAATCCAACCGTACTGTTTTGCCAAGAACATGTGAGGCATGAACTCAAGCTACATACAATATCATATCAAACAAGTTTGAAACGTTTCATTTATTTTGAGACAATATAAAATGTATCTTGTTCATTATCAAGTGCTTAGGCTGATCACACACAGTAACGTTTAAAAGAGGTAAATTACTCTTTACCACAGTTGCTTCCTATCCTAACCAGTACTCGCTAGAATAAGGAAAAAGGTGTGATTACTATTGCTAAATACATTTGTTGCAAGTCTCGTGTTACTATATTTTTGGAGACTGCTCAAGCTGCTATGGAGATGGTTCATAATGATAAACAGTCATATACAGACAACATGCTAGCAGCTTCTAATATTGTAGCAAACAAAAACATCACTTGTATAGGCACCATGTACCCCAAAATGACCACATCAACATATTTTTCACTGAAGGAGTGTCCCCCAAAGCCACTATCACCATGTCGTGCCCCTTTTGCAAACTGATTTGTCTCATGATTTGTCTGGAAATAGTCTCTACACCAATAACTTTTTAAGTCACACAGAAAGACATGCATTTATAGTTAATGCTGTACGTTGAAAAATGAATGTACTGTGAATATCTGTGTTTTTTATTGTTTCATGAATGTTTTTTTTAATACATTGAGTTATGTATTATTTTCTTTAATGTATTCACTTGGCAGGGGTATTGCCCGTAGGAGTTGAACTATGAGGTGTGCTATACAAATAAACTGGCATTGCTTTGTAGATCAATCAGATTAAGGGTACTATACTATGTATTAAAAAAACAGCTCCATTTCAAATGAGCCCAAAGTGTATATTTGCCTTTTACCAATGGTTCAGTTATGTTGTAAATTTGATGATTGTTTACATTCAAAAGTAGAATTCTAGCAATAGATTATTTATGCTGAAATAACATACAACATAGATTCCAAACAGGCCTTGCATTTGAAAAACTGCAATGTGCCCTTGAAAGCCTTAAAACAGTGATGTCAAACAGTCAGTCAAAAGTATTTAACAGTCTGAAGCAACCATATACAATCACACTTTTGCAGTAAAGCTTTGCCACCAACACACCAACCACAGAATGTTAGTACCCTTTTAAAGGAGATAAATGGTATAGCCTAAAAACACGACCAGCTAGAAGAGTTGCTATTTTCCCAGTGATAAAAATAAAGGAGTTATCACCTCAAAAGCACCCCAGACCTAAGCCTTCCCGGTCTCATTACTGTGGATCTTAGTCAGAGAAACACCTAAATAAATGAAGTGCCTAAGAGTAATACCATAGCTCATTACAATCTCCATGTCAGTGGGGAAACAGCATTTCCACAAAACAGTTTTCTTTGTCACTGGCTGTGCTAAATATAATAAGAAAATATTGAACGCAACCCTCGGAATAGCATTGTGTTACACATACTTTCGCGGATAAACATTTCCATAAACGCCACTTCACGATACTTGAACAAAGGAGTGACTAAAGTGACTGTTGATAATTGCCATAAAAAAATAGAGAAAATAGTGTATTTGTTCTTCTGAGGCCTAAAATGTATCGAATCATATTCATATTGTGATCCCTGTATCTACATCTGTATCAAAATGTGAGAAAAGATGTATGTTTACAACGCATCCATAAAAATGAGAATGAAAATGAACGCCTCAAGAGGTAGAAAACTATCAAGAATCCCTCACAAGAAAACACCGCAATTTTACGTTCTTAAAACAATGCGATTGACCTAACACATTTTGGTAAGTCAACACTAAAAGCAATTTTATTTTATATTAAAAAAAATAACAATGGGAACTGCAGAAATACTTGATCAAGAACATTGAGCCGTTGCTTTTACTCTACGGATTCCTGTAAATGAGAATTAAAGTAGGGCTACAAAGACAGACCACATCATGACCAGGCTGACAATGTCAACTCCAATGCGGCCTTGGATTCTCTTGTTATTTCTTTTCTCTACAAGAATAATCAAGAGCACTTTTCGGCTTTTGTCCTAACCAAGGACCTACAAGACTTGTCTTCAGTGATACAACTTCACCTACTCGTCTTGATCTATGAGCATGCTATGAATCTAGGCATCTCATGTTTGATACTTTGTCTACATATGGCCTTTTGCCTACGATGACTCCATAGTAATGATGGTTTCACCTGCCTTGAGGCTCACACTGCAAGTCGGCGACAGGCTGCTCCGTTCAGCGCAGTCTTCCCGGTGAGGTGACTGAGCCGTCGTCTCTTCCTTATGCTCGGCTCGTTTCATGTGGCAGCGGCAAACTTCGATCCCAGAATCCCCAGTTAGTCTTCTGTGACGAAAATGGTCTTCATCATCATCATCTTCAAACTCTTCGTCTGTTTTAGCATGCGTTTCCGTGTTGGTTGCAGAGTAGATGGTGGGTTTGAGCGGGTGCATAGCAGAATTTGACACTTCGTTCTGGGATTTTTCTTTCTTTTCAGTAATGGCGCCAAGCGGGTTTGGAAAAGCAAGAGGGTGAACTTGAGCGGACGGAAGGTTGGACAGGAGAATGAGCGGTGACAGGGGGTGGCGATAGTGTCGTGAAGGACCTTGGGCATTAAGAGACTGTGAAGGAAGAGAAAGCTGTTGAGCTGAGGATGATAGTTTCTGTACGGGTTTCACATCTTGTTTGACCGTCGGGATGACATCTGGAGGGGGCAGTGTTAGAGCCAGGGCAGAGGGCGGGAACATGGCCTTGTCTCCCGGGTCGCTAGGTGTGGACATGCGGCTGCTGTCGTAGGTCTCGTCTGTCACTTGAAAAGAGAAGGATGTGCTGGAGGGTGAGGTGATGGAGCAGGATTCACAAGAGCAACTTGTGTAGTTTTCGGAGCTCTGAGAGGATGTGAAGCCACTTGGACCAGGACCCAGATAGGGAGGGCAGGGAGGGAAGGGTGGGTAAGGGTGGCAGTGATTGTGGTGGTGGAGGTATGAGGAACTAGGGCCGCCCATAGATCCTCCCTGCAGGGCAAACACAGAGCTGTAGGAGGGAGGAGGGGTGCAGGGCTGTGCTGCCACCTCCTCATAAGATGGCAACTTGAAGGAAGCCAGAAAACCTATAAACAAGAACCTAAGCATTAGTCTGACTGGTACTAAAAATTCATGTTGTTATGTTGACATCATTGCCAGTCTATAGGTTCACCATGTGATATAGGAGCACATGGTGAACCTATAGACTGGCCATAGGAATGGACAATATCCCCAATAAGGGAATTCTCCAACTCACTTTGGCTCCATTCACTTACATAGAAAAGTGACCCTCACACTCACCATTCTAGCTTTTAAAGTCTGTGGTTTATCAGTCCTGGTATTTATAGTTTTGTTTTGTCTTTGGATATACAGATATGACCCCTAACAACTGACCAATTAGGTGCCTTCTGTTCCAGAATTTAACTTTGGCTAGCAATGCATAGAGTGAGCAGAAACAGACCAGCTCTGCTTCTGATTGGCTCTTTGGTTGGTATGTTGTAGCTACTATACCTACATCGCCAGCCTCCAGATTCCAGCTCATGGAGCCTGTTTGAGCTTGCTCTAATCGGCTTCTTCATCAATAAGGCAAACACTAGGTAACTAATGTCAGAACTCGGTTAATCCTCCACTCCGTCTACAGTCTATGGGTAAACCCCAAAGTGATTTACTACAATAACAGTCAGCTATAATGCATTCTTCCATGGCGCTGTGCTATATACATTTGGCTACACATGAAAATAATGTATGATGAATTCAGTCATACTGAGATCAAGCATTGAGGAAGAGTAGGCTCCATTATAGGCGATGAGGTTGATCTCCCTCTGTCGCTGCTGCTGCTGGATTCTCATCTTGGCACGGCGATGACGGTAAGCACAGAAACAGCTGAAAAGAATCAGGAGAGTCCACAGCAGCCAGAACCCTGCACCAGACAAACAGGAACCAAGAGTAACTCTCATGACAACTTAGACATTATCGTGCAGTAATGAACAATTACTAAAGGCTCATCCATGCACCATCTGACTGTTTCAACAGCAGGAGTTCTCAGCAGTGACACATTTGCTTTAAAAGTCAGTGGGTCGACTCACACCAGAGTTCATAGTAGTAGGTGCAGCAGCCTGTCTCTCCACAGCAGTGGCCCGTTTCACACAGGTATCCCGGCTTGTTGTTTAACCCTGGGCAGTACTTGGAACTGATTGGGACTGGCAGGCTGTTAGAATCATAATTTTTCACCACCTACATGTCCAAAACACAAAACATTTCAGTAGTGTTTCTCATTTCAGTGTTTGTCAAAACACAAAGAAGAAGACACTTCATGACATGGAGTTTGTAGAGGCCACGTAACAAGTCAATCAATCAGCCTCAAAGAATCCAATACCTTGGAACTCATATATTGAGCGAAATATTAAAATTATTGAATGTGTCACTACTATCGCAAAGTGAAAGAATATACAAAATTCAATAATTAATCAACAGTCAGTAAATGAATATAAATGCAACTTAATAGTCAATTAAATGATTGAATGTACATTGAACTACTTGAGTGGACAGTTAAATATTTGTATAATAATATGTAGCAATAATTACATAAATAAATCATTGAATAATTAAAAGTGGCGTTACATGATTTAAACACATGATTAAATGTAAGCATATACCAATAAAATCTAAATAAAATGTATGTTTAATTATTTAAAGATTTACATTTCATGACTCTCAGTCGGCAGAAATGGGAAGGCGGGACTTCCTGTAATGGTGGAGTTTTACAAAGAAGCCTTCAGGATCTGCCTAAAATTAACTAAACCATGTGAACTGCATCATTAGGACATGCTCTACAGCCCAGAAGAGCAAACTGGAGACAAATGGCTCAAATGACTGGCCTGAGATCTCATCGATAAGCCACATAGAAAGGCATCAACAGGAAGAAAAGCGATAGTCTAGTGGTAAGATAGCTAGTCACTGCTATAGTCACTTTTTTATTAATATTATTGTACATCATTTATCTTACACAAAAAAGACTATATTCTAAGCTGTCTTTTTGCACACCCTGAGTGATGTGACATGTACATTTCTCCCTTGTGAGATCAATCAAACAGTGGGCACTGGGCAGTGTATGATTTCATTTTGAAAACCCATACTCCCTTGGCAGAGGTCGAAAATGCAACAGGATATGAGAGATACCTTATTGGGCATACTGATGTCAGCTTCTTTCTGTGAGACCGCCACCTGAAAGAGGACATTAAAAGCCTCTGTGAATTATGTAGTATGAGCACATAGCATTTATAACTGAAGCCTCTCTAGTTATCTGCTTCATCAAGAAGAGGTTGCCATATCTGTTTTATACATAGAGAGCCGGTGATAACAAAACACTGTCGTCATGGCAACCACTCAAGCTTGGCTCCATCTTAATTATGTGTCTATTGTTGTATTTATTTTAATAGCAGAAAACATGTAATAAGGTTCAAAGAAGAGCTGCTTACTGTCACCGTCTCCATTCCAACCAGCCCTTGCAGCGACATGGTCATCTGGAAAGGATTTATGATTTTAGTAAAGCCATCCCACAATATGAATGCAAAGGAATGTCCACAATAGAAATTCAACAGATCTACAAAACAACATGTTTGTAGTACAAACAGTACACGTTCAAGTAATTTGTGGGAAATGAAAGAGCATAGATCTATTTTGGTGGATTAAAGTATTTTACATATTTACTTTTGACCAAAATGTTTGATGCATTCTCTTTATTATATTAGTTTTAAACTCCCACTTGTTAGTTGGTAGCGCATCTGAGTGACAGCAAAGCATCTTACAAAAAAATGTGTTGTTATTAGTTGTTTCCAAAGTCATTTCAAAAATATGTATCATGATTAGAATGTTTTTGTGAGAGCAATGCCGACAGGAGTGAAGTCAGTGTCTGTTTTCCTCTCGGCAGCAGCACAGAGCACAGTGTCTCAGCAAGGAGAGGAGAACTATACAAAAATGATTTCTTTACAAAGTCTCCTGAGATTGTAGGCAGGCTGTCAGCTTATATATTTGTGTTCAAAATGTTGGTAGCGTAAAACATAGCTTTCAAATCCTCTCAGAGAACCACCTTGTGGTCTAGAGTAAACATGTTTTTTTGTATTACACAAAAATAGGCCTTTGTGTTTTCAACTTAATGAGAAAACCAATATCCAAGGAGACTGCATTATTTTTCAACTCTTTATTTTTTGGGAGTGTGGACTTGAGTGTGAACTCAAGTCTGGACAGTCTGTACCCCGGGGAACAGAAGGACAGGAGTATGGAAAAAACCATTGATTGGGTGGGGCTCCATTTTGGGATGGTTGCACTAGTGTCTTGTGCACAGTGCACCAAACAATTGAAGAATTCTTTATTTCCACATTTAATAAGATATTTTTTAATGGATCATACTAATGACTAATGGTTTTCCTAATTGTCAATTATTCTGGTGATATGTGATGTAAGGCCATCGTACATGTCACTTCGAAACTCACTGCACACCTACATCCATCCAAATATAATTATTTTGTTTGTTATACTAAACAGATGAGGACCACACCCCAGTGGCTTCTTTTCTATTTTAGAATAACTCAATTGAAACAAAATGACTTTATGTGTAATTTATAGTTCATTATAAAGTTCCATTGTTCTAAATGTTGTAAATCACTCCAACTTTTTTTTAATAAAAAAAAGTCATGGATCGTAATCCTTGCTAAATTATGATATCTGCACACAACAGAAAGATACAGGGAAATTGCTGTGTCCATTTCTCACATTCAAACATGCATACACAAAGTAAATAAATATGGAAAAGATCAGTACACAGGATTTAACTTAAGATGAAGCACAAAGAGTTGCCCTGCTTTTTGTGGTGGCATCAGCCATCTTGTTTGTTGTGGTCTGCGGGAGGCATCACAGAGAGGGACAGAAATTAGCTGGACAAGGTCATCAGGAAGTCCAGCTCAGTCCTGGGCTGTTCCCTGGACACAGTGCAGCAGGTGGGGGACAGGAGGGTCCTGGACAAACCCACATCTATGCTGGACCATGACTGTCACCCCCTGCAGGACACTCACTCTGCTCTAGAGAGCAGCTTCAGTGACAGACTTAGACACCCTTCTGTGTGAAGGTCTTTTCTTCCTGCTACTGTTAGACTGTATAATGAGAACGGCTGAGCCTGTACATTTCATCTAGTCTCTAAATAGTTAATACTGCAATCAGGTGCAATGTGCAACACTGAAATTCCAATTCCAATGCAACTATTGGGGTCTATCTTGTTCAAACTAGCCTACAGTCATGACAAGACCTTGCTGAAGTGGCACACACAGTGTAGGTAGTGAGTGTGCAGCACATGTCCTGTAGGTTGTTGAGAGTTTGTACTTGTATGCAATCCAACAAACTATAAACAGATTAATCATTGCACCCTCTGTGACAATGAGCGTTGTTGCATACACCAACATAACAGCAGCTGTTAGAGCAATCTGCTCGTGTTGGCAGACGACCAATTACTCCTACTTTTTTTATCACTATACGTTATTTTTAAACTACAATCAGGCAACATAAGTTTTTTTCTCCTTCAATGTTTCAACTACGCATAACACCCTGATTCTTGCATCATCTTCTCACTTTGTAAGGTCTATAGACATACTGAATATTTCACAACATTCTGAAATATTCCCCAATTTAATTATCCACTTGTCGTCCACTAATATAAAGCAGTTCAGTTCAGTGGAAAGTGCAGATTTTAATTCCAAAAATAGTTGATTAATTCATTTATAAAAAAAAATAAAAAAGACACACTCTGCCTAATGTCTAAAAATTGCTTATTTAGTTGATTAGCAAATAATGTATATGTATATTTAAAAAAGGTTTACATTTGCTACGTTCAAAGAAAGGAAGCAAATGTATGTAACTTTATTTAATAGTGAATCTATTGTGACACAATCGTTTTGAACATGATAGAAAACATAGGTTTTCAATGGTATGCCTACTGTACAGTCAGTGCAGGAAGCATGTGATGCATGTCAAGTATCAGCGAACATTGCTACAGTGTTGTAATTACACAGTATTTAGCTCAAGGCTGTGCTGCTCTCCATAGCATTTATGGACACACCAGGGAAGAGATGGCTCCTCTTGCACGTAAAATGTGTCACAGTATCTGACAACAAATCTGCTTAAAGACCAGTAATGTGTTCTAAAATGTAGACTCGGGAATAGGGATTAAATGCTTTCTGAATTTGGGGATTTGACATGATCTTTTGACTAACCTTGACAGACATACTATTTAGAGAGGTCTAAATAAAGTAGCCCGTACATGCAATCATCCCCGAGACTTGAACTCAGATTTGCATTCAATCGAAGGACTTTGCGTGCGACATGAAACTGATATTCACAAAGGCACACGCCAGCAGGTGAATCCAGTGGAACCACCGTGCATGCCTCCCACCCGGGCTACTGTTTACTAACACAAGCGCACAGGCCGTGGAAGCGTGTGGAGCCCGAGTGTTGACAGCAGCAGCAGCATCAGCAGCAGTAGTGGGTCAGACGGAGTAAAGGGAGATACGTACCTCCTCAGCCGTGAGCCCGTGGCAGAATGTCAACGTCTTCTCTGGGTCCATGGCGAAAGATGGAGATCACACTGAGCCAAGGTGACACCGACAGAAGCGATATGGTGTTAGTGCGCTGTCCCACTCCATAGAAGCGGTGTCTCCTGTCTCCCCATCCGCCATCCCCCGGACACACAGACGTGGACAGAGACACGCACGCCCCTCCCAGACTACACTACACACGCAGCCAAGTGTGCGAGGGAGGGATGCGCTGCTGCTGCCTGGAGTAGTACCGTGCACTGCCCACGGCGCGGTAGTAGGCAGCTATGTAGTAAATAAAGCTGTTGCATGTGGCTTTTTGGTCCAGGGTGTGATGTCATACCCTCAGCCCACACGCACTTGAGCAGCAGGCCGCGCTGGTGATTGGCCGGGGCTCCCAGCAACAGCCGCATATGGGGCTGCACCAGGCGGTCACAACATGAGACACGTTTACTACGGCCGCGTCCACCTGGATCACGGCGTAATAAAAGTTGAACATTCACATGATTAGTCTAAAACTATAAAGAAGGTCGGTTGGTGGATCACTCCGGTGTGTTATATAGTGCAGAGGCGACACCACTTAAAGCTGGGGTACCCAACTTTAAAACCATGATGAATAATGCAATTGTGTTATTAAATCCAGCTAACGGTAGTTCCTCACATTACCCGGAAACTTAGTTTTATTGAATTTAGTATTACATCACGATGACAGCATGTTTGATTGGTTCACAACATTTTATTTTTACAATAGTCTTTCTGTACAACATTAATACATAGTAGCATACACAAAAATAGTTACCACATGGTTTTAAATTGGACCAAGATTCTGTATTGAAGTTGAATTATATTGAATTTGAATTCAAGCCTGCCATAAGACCTACTTCACTGATGTCTACTGCCGTTGTGTCCTTGGGCAAGACACTTAACCCCACTTTGCCTGAAGCCCCTGCTGAAAGACTAAGGCTCCTGTAGGCTCACCACCTGCAGGAGGGATCAGAGAGGGGCTGGTTGTACTGGGTGGCATCTCCCCCCCCCCCCCCCTCACCCAGAAATGGATTAAGGGGTAGAAAATTGGATGGATGGATGGTCGATGATGCTTTTGGAACAACTTTGAGAAAATAGAAAATATTCTCGATATAGTAAACTCTGTATTTGGGAATATTTATACCGTAAGCTCTTGAAACAACTTATTCGGATCTAGTTTATTCTGCTTAAATTACTATCTAGTATTAGTATCGGTTAATACGTTTGATATACCAAATAGAAGACAAAACAAATCGAACGAGCTTTAAAGTGGGATTAGTAAGACACGTGGGAAGGCCATATGGGAAGAGAGATGCTGTGAAAGACTTGTCTCTAAGCAACCATGCAAAGTCCCCGTATGAAGCCTAGGTGTGAAACAATATGAAGCCCGTAGATGTTGTAGACGTAGATGTTGTAACTATCCACCCCCAGCGAATCTGTGCCCGCAGCGTGTTGAGGTCAATGGATTGAAGGAGATTCATGTGTTCACCCTTGACCAAGGGAGCTGGCCTCAATATTCAAGCTTTCCACAAGAGGGCAGCACAATGCAGTAATTTTATTTCAAACTATTAGGGTCATTTTTCTGTTTACACCGTTTGGATCAAATATACAACAAGATATATCACAAAGAATATAACTTGCCATGCCTGCGCCAAATGTTTTTTCAATTTAGTGTGTTCAAGGTGCTCTTCTAAAATCTATAATGAAAACAAGAAAAAAGAGGAGGAAACAACAAAAACAGAAGGGTATTCACATTACACTAAGATATTTTTGTTAATGCAACATCCATTTTAACAGACTTTTTAAATCATTGTTTACATGGCTCATTGTGGAAACGTCACTAAGTTAATTTGGTCGTCTGACAGATTCTGCAAGTAAATTCTTTTTTTTAAGACCAGAGTGATTTTTTTCTTTTTTGTACCTGACAGTTTCAACAGCTGTGCGCAGTCTTCCTCAGTGGGCAAAGAGGCAATAGAAATACGGCAACATGCCCCCAGGACCATCAACCGGGACGAGGGGGATTTTTTTACTCTAACACACCTGGGAAGTCAGATTGCAGATGGCGCTGTTATCCTGCCTTTGGTGGTAGGAAGACAGCTCCAAAGACTGCTCGTAAATTTCAGGTACAAAAAATCCACTCTGGTCTCAAAAAAACGTACTTGACTTGTAGGATTAACTGATTGATTTAATGTTTAAATAATGGTCTTAATCATTAGTAAACAACTCCAACCCATTGCATACAATAATATCAGATTCAGCATAACTGAGTTGATATAACAAATAAAATAATCCATATTAACACCATTCACGACAGTTAATTGCGTTACATCATAATCTCACTGATGTGTTCCATTACATCAGCCCACTGTTTATTCCTGTGTACTTATGAGGTGCCTCTCGCTGCATGCATTTGACAGATTACACATATTATGACAGAATATGGCTGCAGACACTTCCTCTGACCTGTCACTGCACGCCCACATACACACTAGCACAAGGGATTCTCTATGTCTCTTTGTTTGCTCAAGCCAAAAATAAACCCAGCATAAACTAGGATATTCACTGCCCAGCAAAGCTTTAAATTGGGAATCATTGTAAGCGGAATTATTTTTACCGAAAGCAGAAATCACACAGTGGCTCCAGTTTTATTTCCCACAAGTTCACAGTTAAAAAAAGTATTTACAAAAAGAAACAGTATGGCTGCTAATATACTTACTTCAACTTTACACACACAAATGAATGGGTCTATAATGACAGATGCATTAGTTTGACAGAGGCATTTTAATAACCTTAACGGTCCCATAATGTCACGGTTAAATATGTGCATATACTCAAGGCCATTGCTTTGGTAAAATCTGGGTGTGGTCGCTGAAGCCACTAACTTCAGCTGCTGAGAGAACTTTTTCCACCTGACTCGGAGAATGTCTTTAACTTCTGTGCTTAATTACTGAGCTGCTATAACACACGTGTCTGCTGACTGCTGAAATACTTATATTGCACAAATAAGATTGACTTAAAGCAATAACAAACGAAAGAAACAGCTTTATAACAATAATTTACTTTCTGTTTTACGGTCCTTTCTACAATTTGATAACATTTTAACGATATGGATATTTACGTACAGTTGTGCTCCATTGAATATGTAGTTGGCTTTTCGACAGTCTATCTTTGTGATTATCCAGGTCTGAACTCAATTGCCTGAATCTATGTTTTCAGCACGTGTCCCTTTAACTTATAGATTCAAGGAGCACTATTATTCAGACTCTGACAAACTGTAAAATGAGCTAGTGTCGCCACATGTCTGCTCTATGAACGCACTGGGCAGAAAGACCACCAGTTCAACTTTTGATTCAAACCTGTGATGTATTTTACTGTTCTTTGTTTAGTTTTCTCTTCAAACGTGCGGTTTAAAATGTAAAAACAAAAATACTTGAGTTGGAAGCTGATTAGAAACATATCAATGTGTTTTTTTTAATTAATATTTTTTTTAATACTGTTTGTTTTTAATGTTTGATACATGCAGCAATGGCTACTTATAGACAAAACATGAAGTAAAGATGAACTGATTCTGAGCTAAAAAGAGTTTTTACTGCTGTTTGAGAGGAATAAGCTCATCATGAATCTTCATCATAATGAATCAGTATGTCCACCAGCATCACCTCATACATGATTCAGGAGTCAGAAGAACTAACTGGAATACCATTGTAAGGATTTAACAGACAGAGACGGATCGTGGTGTGCCACACTCTGGAAGTTTATTTAAGGTTCTCTCAAGTTCCACTGGTTTACTCTGTTTCTTTCCCTCAGACAGAATAAAGGCAGTACACAGTTTATATAGTCATTGTCACGTCACACATCGAAAGACATACGTGTCACAAAGAGACAGTCACATCATAGTCATAACATGGAGTCCTTGTAGAGTCCTTGTACAGTCCTGCACGTAGGCCATATTGCTATCTAATACTAATACCCTCCCCTTTGATCACATAATCACATGTGATCACTCAATTTGATCAATCAATAAAGTGGAAAAAGAAAAAAAAAAAAAAAAAAATCCAAAAAAAAACTTCAAAAAATTATTAAAAACAAAGAAAATGTATGCATTAAACTCATAATCATCAAATCAATATCAGTGGATTTTATCCTCTATCCTGGGAAAAAAAAAACAAACAAAAAACAAATCAAAAATAAAAACAAACAAAAATAAAAACAAACAAACACTATTGGACACACAAGAACTCAGCAGATTCAGTCAAAACACAGACAAAAACGAGCTGAGTCTCAAATTTGAAGCTAATTTCACTTTTCTTACTTTATACTTTTATTCTAATGCTAATTGTTTACACTTCACCACTGTATTATTTTCACTTTTCAATCTTAGACTGTGTACTTTACTTTCATATTCACTATAGTTTAAAACTCTTCTAATCTATTTACAAATATGTTTGCATATTTGCTTCTATTGAGCCATATTCTTAAACAACATTTAATCTAATAAATCTCTCTGTGGTTTACACTCTAATTATCAGTGGCATATTATTAGTGGGATTTTGCTCCATGTCTATTCTCATTCTCAGGAATAAAACTGTGAACACAGTAAGGCAAATGGTCAACATTTACACTTCTATAGTGGTCAGTGATTTATTACTTTTTATTATCTAAAGATATTATTGTCAGGCAGTTTGGGATGAATGTACATCATTAATCAAATTAGTATTATCCTACAAGAGCTAATCTATTTAGCAGGTTTGGGGTTGGGGTCAGTTATTCTACAATGGTGTTTGTGCTGGAAACTTCTCAATATCTAAATATCTACTATTGTGTTTTTGTGCTATACACAAATACATCAAAATGCTTTTAAATGCTTTTGAATCTCTGTTGGTTCTAATCTATCTCATTGATCTAGGCATTAATCTAGACTACACTCATATGGACTTTTTGTATTGTCAACATTCACTCATGTTTGAACACAAGTGAATTTGGCAAGTATCTAATAAAACTGTACATAA